TTTCTTTCTTTCTTTCTTTCTTTCTTTCTTTCTTTCTTTCTTCCTTTCTTCTTTTTTTTGGTACCATTTCTTTTTGTCATTTTGGGTGGACTAAGTGTGATGAGGCCTTCACTGAGGGAGGACCTACTGTGTGGGGGTGGAAATCCAAATGGGTCCAGGAGAAGAAATGGGAGCTGCTAACACAGTGTGCATGCTTCAAAAACCACCCGTGCTTTGCCTCAGCCGCTGTCCCTTAACCTGCCCTTGGCCCAGAGGCCTGTACCCTTCAGCCTCGCCCGGACTCCCTGCTGAAAACAGGCGTGACTCCTCCTCACACCCCATTCAAAGGCCTCATTAGTAAGCTTTATGGCCAGGAACCCATCAGTGCCTCTCTATCTTTCTTCGAAGGTCTCAACATATGCACTAGTGGAAGTGCCACCTCATGTGAAGAATGTCTGTTAATCCATCCAAAATGTGCCTGGTGCTTTAAAGAGGTACGTGGTGGTGTGGGGTGGGGGTGGGGGGAGGCGGCGGTGAGGGAGGGGTGGGAGAGGGGGGAGGGAGTAGGGGGCACGCTACACCCAGCACCCCAGTTGACTGTGCAGAGATGGGGTCAGCAGATTCTGCAGGCTGCCTCTTCTCTTTCCCAGGGCGATGACAAAGCTGCATTTTTATAACAGAAATTCAGTCGGGTCTTCAGATGGTATTGAGTGTTTTAATCCTATTTTAGGAAAACAAGACCTTCCTTCCCTTTTGTGGGGGAGCCAGTTATGACTCTTGTCTAGTTTCCTGCGATTTGGAAAAAGATCTGAGCATGTGAAGGGAGTTTGTTGTATAATAGTTGAAAACGTGGGCGGGTGGGTAGTATGTAGATGGAGGCCAGTCGTCTTCACGTGGCTTACGTGGGGTTAGGAGTATTGTGACTCCGCCTTTGTGGTATGATTAAAAGTCATGGTTGCTGTTTCTTTAGGCCCTGTAAGAAGGGTTACAAGTTCGGGGAGATGTTAGACATATTGCTGTGTAAAGCAGTACAAACCTTGGAGCGTGGTGAGCTCATCAGCAAGTGATCAATTTCTAAAACTCCTGTCTTGAAGGAAATTTCCGGCTCACTTTTTGAAATTGTTGTTAGAACCACCAGGCACAAACTCTCCTTGCACGAATGTACTGTTAAGGTGTTTTTTTTTTGTTTTTTTTTTGTTTTTTTTTAGTTTTTTTTTTTTATTTTAGAGAGAGAGTGCTCAAGGCGGGGGACTCTGTGCTGAGGGCACAGCCCGACATTTGGCTCGATCCCATGACCCTGAGATCATGACCTTAGCTGAAACCAAGAGGCAGACACTTAACTGACTGAGCCACCCAGGCACCCCTGTTAAGGTTAATTTTTAAAGAAGCTGAGACCTGCCATCTTGGATTGGCTCAGTCTTTGCTGTTTGGTGTGCGGTGCCCAACAGGACAAGAGATCGCTTGGGAGGCTGAGCGTCTTTGCCTCAATGCAGCCTCAGAGGTCTGGGGATGGGTTCAGCCTTCAATGGCTACAGATGGTCATGTGGGGAGCCCCATGAGTACCCCACACCTTGTATATAGTATTGATGAAAATCGAAGGCTCAGAGAGGTGATGTGATTTTTTTTTTTTCAAGGTCACACACTGTGCCAAAGCTGGATTTTAGAGCCCAGGCTCTTACCCTTTGGCTACCCGGCCTCTTACATGTGACCTCTATAGAATTTTTTCTAGTGGAGAGTAGGATTAAACTAAATAAATGATCCCAACCACAATAAGTTTATTCCAATAAATCTTCCCAATATATGAAAACTTCATTGTATTTGTACTTAATTGTTTGTTGTGAACTTCCTTTATAACCTTTCACTGGCATCGTATGTCCCAAGTTCCATGGCCCGTTTCTGCCTCCCCACCATTGCCCCTTTCCTGTCCCCAGCACTTTAGTCAGAGGGAGCTATCCGAAGATCGCCAGAGAGCCCCACCCTGTGGATGCCCTCATGGTTTTCCCTGTGTTGCTCCTTTGCCTGGAAGGCTTTCCTGGCTTCCACTCCTTTCCCTGACCAATGTTTTGTCATCCAGTTTTCAAGAACCAGCTCAGAACTCATCTGCTCTATGAAGACTTTCATAGATTTTCTTAGACATGGCCATCTACCTCTTCATCCATCAGTCTGCCCAGGCCCTTTGGTATGAGATTATCTCTGTCTTCCAGAATGTTAGGGCATGGCTTTTATCTATTTTCTTCATTGCTGCATCCCCAGTACCTAGAGTGTTGTCTGGCACACAGTAGTTGCTCAATAAGTATTGACTGAAGGATTTCACTGGATTGGTATTTATTGCGTGTCTGCATGTGCAGGCCATGACCCCCTCTTTGTCTCCCCGTAGTCCCTACTTCCTTGATAGCACTGATAATCTTTTATTGTATTATTTTGTTTTTATGCCCATGACTGACTAAATCATCATCTTCTTGGAAACCTAAACTATGTCTTATTCATCTTGACTCCTCAGATCCAGCCCAGAATCTGGCAGAAATTCATAGTTGATAAAAGAGATGGGCTTGGGCGCCTGGGTGGCTCAGTGGGTTAAAGCCTCTGCCTTTGACTCAGGTCATGATGTCAGGGTCTTGGGATCAAGTCCCGCACCAGGCTCTCTTCTCAGCAGGGAGTCTGCTTCCCCCTCTCTCTCTCTGCCTGCCTCTCTGCCTACTTGTGATCTCTGTCAAAAAAAAGATGGGCTTAAACAACATGTAGTTAGAAAACCAAAGTTTATTTTTTATTTTTTTAAGATTTTATTTATTGGAGGGACACCTGGGTGGCTCAGTTGGTTGGACGACTGCCTTCAGCTCAGGTTATGATCCCGGAGTCCTAGGATCTAGTCCCTCATCAGGCTTCCAGCTCCATTAGGGAGTCTGCTTCTCCCTCTGAACTTCTCCTCGCTCATGCTCTCTCTCACTGTCTCTCTCTCTCAAATAAGTAAATAAAATCTTAAAAAAAAAAAAAGATTTTATTTATTTGAGAGAGAGAGAGCATGAATGGGAAGGAGGGGCAGAGGGAGAGGGAGAAGCAGGCTCTCTGCTGAATAGGGAGCCCAACGTGGGGCTCCAACCCAGGACCCTGAGATCACAACTTGAGCTGAAGTCAGATGCTTTACCGACTGAGCCACCCAGGCGCCACTAGAAAACCAAAGTTTGAATCTCAGTTTTCCCATGCTTTGTTCCCAGTTGCGTGATGTGTCAGATGCTAGTGACAACTGCACCCTCCAGTGTTCTTGGGAGTATAAAATGAGATGAGTGCATGAGAGGACTCTTGGATGGGTCTGCTGATGAACGGAATGAGTGTTACCTAGCACACTGCCACTCTCATCCACGGTATCCTCTAGTAAATGGAAGCAGTGGGACCTGGAAGCCAGGGTCAGCTGTCTAGTTAGGTTTCTTCCTTTCTTGTGCTAGTACTTCCAGGACTCTGATATGCTAATATTGACAGCGAATGACGTTATCTCTAGGAGCCTTGCATTCCCCGGGCCCACACCTGGGTTCCCTCTCTAGCCTAGTGGGTTCCCTGGGCTTACACGGAGCCTCGGTCTTGGCTGCAGAGCTCCCTGTGATGCCTGCACGGGAATGCCGCTTACCATTTTCTTTGGGGGGTGAACTGCCCCCAGGATGTGAGTGTGCTTCGGGGAACTGGGTTTGGACAGTTCACGATGCTTTCTGGTCGACCTCTGCACTTTAGCAAGACAGAGTAAGTGTGGTCGAGTGCCTTCCTAACCGTACATGCCAGGATGGCATCAGAGAGGTCAGGTATCTGCCACGAGCATATGACGAGTGTGCACGGAGGGCTGGTCCCTCGGGGATGGTGAGGGAGGGCCAGGTTGCTGACCGGCGGGTTTCTGTGGATTCTGCCCCACCCACCTGTTGTGGCCCACACCAGTGCCGAGTCATTGGGAACCATCCTCTATCGCGACTCCCCAGCTCTTGATCTCGTAGTGCTTTTATTTTACTTGAGGTGGGGCGGGCATCCTCTGCATTTAACATTCCTTGTAAACTAATTCCGCCTCCTCTCCCTGTTCCTGTGTTCCCTGCAGGTATTGAATTGGAGTCTGCTGGCGTCGGGCTCCCGCTCAGCACTTCTTGCTGGTTTTCTATTCCATTCTGCTGCATGACCCTTTTTTGTTTTAAGATTTTATTTTTGGGGTAACTGGGTGGCGCAGTCTGTTGAGCCTCTGACTCTTTTTCTTTTTCTTTTTTTAATCTGAGCGAGAGAGCATGAGTGAGAGCAGAAGTAGGAGGAGCCCCAGAGGAAGAGGGAGGAGGAGATGCCCCGCTAAGCAGGGAGCCAGCTGTGGAGCTGGACCCTAGGACCCTGGGATCATGACTTGAGCTGAAGGCAGCTGCTTAACTGACTGAGCCACCCAGGCGCCCTGAGCATCTGATTCTTGATTTCATTTTTGGTCATGATCTGAGCATCGGGGGATCGAGCCCTGCATTGGGCTGCGTGCTCAGCACAGAGCCTGCTTGCGTTTCTTTTCCCCTCTCCCTCCCCTCTCACCCTGTGCTTTTCTCTCTCTCTCTCTAATAAATAAATAAATCTTTTTTAAAAATTTGAAAATTAAAAAAATGATTTTTTTTTAAAGATTTCTATTTATTTATTTATTTGACAGAGATCACAAGTAGGCAGAGATGCAGGCAGAGTGAGAGAGGAGAAAGCAGGCTCTCCGTGGAGCAGAGAGCCTGATGTGGGGCTTGATCCCAGGACCCTGGGACCATGACCTGAGCCGAAGCCAGAGGCTTAACCCACTGAGCCACCCAGGCGCCCCAAAAAAAGATATTAGAGTTGCCAGACTTTCTGGTACTCTGAGACCAGGAGTGCGGGAGGCCGCCTCTCCTTGCCTGTCCTTACCTGTTCCCACAGCACCCCTCACCCCTGTCCTTAATTCATTCTTCATGACACCTCCTTGGCCCTTGCTTCTCAGCCAGTGTGAGCACTTAGGGCGCTGTTGTCCTGCACAGGATAAAACACACAACAAATTCCAGCAGTGTATCAGCCATTTTGTCTGCCTTTTTTTTTTTTTTTTTTTCCAAGTGGAAATCTGCCCCTGATCTCAGCCTGTGAGCCTCTCAACCCAGCTGGCTGTGAGAGGAATTTGTAGGGCAGAGTGTGTGTATGCTTTTCCCGCAAGGCCCATCGCAGCCCGCCTTCTCTCCACTCACACTTCCTGGCTGACCACCCAGTCATGTCGCTCTTCCTACATGCAGGGAGAGCCAGGAGACTGGATCCAGCTGTGTGCCCAGGGAGATAGGGAGCACAGGGCTCATGCTGGGAGCAGGGGGGTCACTGTGGCTTGTAGGAGGATGGTAGTTTGGGAGAAGTGGGCAGGCCTGAAGGACCCAGACTCCCCGTGAGGGTAGAAAGCAGAGTCTGTGGGAGCAGAAGAGGAGGAGAAAACAGACTACAAGATTGCATGCAGGGCTGGGGAACTGGGGAGCCCATCGGGCATGATGGTGAG